ACCCCCACCTGCCCCCCCCCGGACCCCCCCACCCGCCTCTGTAGCCACCGCCTGCTCCTCGGTACCCCCCACCTCCGTAGCCTCCCCCACCTCCATAGCCTCTCCCTGGGCTGCCTTGGTATCCTCTTCCTCCCGACCGCCTGCCAGAGTAGCCATAGCCACTGTACCCTCTGCCTCTGTAGCCAAAGCCTCGCGGGTAACCTCCCCAGCCTCCGTTGTCGTAGCGAGCCATTTTGGGGGGGCGAGGACCATCACCGAACCTGGCAAAGAGAAACATTAAACACTTGATGCAATCTTACTGCTTTCATTTTTTTAAATATTGCAAGGAATAATCAATTGCCAAGATACTTGGTGAAGATGCCTCTACTTTCTGTTAACAGATATTTGAATTGCAGTTGCACTTTTGTACCTTTTCCACTTCAGTAAAGTTGGGAGCAGCCTGCCGTGCCACATAAGCAGTCTCTCCTCTAAATCTCAGACAGGTCTACACCTGGGATAGAAAGTTTTCCCCTCAGTCCCGCTTCTCCAGCTCACACATAGGGAGCCCCGTTCCTGTTTATGTGAGCACAGTGACCTTTATTTTGCTCCTCACCAAACACAGAGAAGCGTACATCTAAGCTGTTCTTTGTTTTGATCTTTAAATTACTAACGGCTCACAGGTGTTTTCATTTTTCTTTGCTTCAAAAGCAAGACATGAAGACAAGGGGCAATGGAAGGATGCAAGCACAGCCAAATACTTGTTTTATTTCCAGAGACAGACATTAATAGATTTGCCCAAAATAAATTTGCTTTATCTTTTCTTTAAAAGTCATTGTGTTTTGGAAGAGGTGATGACAGCTTTTGTTACTGAGAGCCACTTGTCCTTCCTGTGGAAACAGGCAGTGACCTGTCTGCATCTGCCCTTGAACATGACCATTCTACATACACTGGGATTATTGACTTTGGAACGAAAGCCTGAAGCTGCCGTCCACATGGGGCAAGACTCTTCCGGTGATTTTCACCCTGGGCTTCTGCAGCCACTGCACAGGGAGGGAGCAATGGAGCTGACAGCTCCGATCTGCTTTGTTCAGGTTCTCGGCGTCCCTGGGGCAGAGGTGGGGAGCGCTCCCCACCCCAGAGCTCTGACGGCACAAGCCCAGGGGAGCTGAGCTAACCTCGCATTGGCAGCCATGAGGCCGATGCCCGCGGCCGAGGGCCTGGAGATCTGACGGATCACATTCAGCATTCGCTCATTTGCCGGGTCCAGCTGCCGAATGATCTCAGGATCTTTAGTCACTTCCACAACAAGACCTTCCATCGCAGCACGCAGGGCAGTGATGCAGGCAGCCGCGTTGTGGGGCATCTTCAGCTTGATCCTGGAGCAGAAAGAAGTATATTACGTGTATCATGACTTCTAGGAGAGAACCTGTTACGAAAGGTGTTCTGTGGAATGGTTTTCCATTGAGTGCTGCACACACACTGAGACAGAAATCTATATTTTCATCTTTGAAATTCTGACTGGTCAAAGAGATGTGAAATTTAGGAGTCAAATCTGCAAGACTGCTAAAATTTGGCAATGTTAAAACGTAACTATCCTTCTGTTTAAATTTGCTCTTGCGATTTAACATACTCAGGTAACAATATATAACCCCTAGAGTCAAAACAGAAAGACACAAAAATACAAAGTAAACTAAAAACATGAGGCTCCTCAAGCTTTTGAAAGTCCCAGGCCACCCTCAAAAATATTAGTAAATTAAGCTTAAGCAATTCTTCACCTCCATTTTACTGACCAGGGGAGTGGGAAAAAAAAAAAAAAAGGCATCCAAATAGTATTTGGTCATGGCCAAAAAATGTATGCTGCCAGAGGCAACCAACAAATCCTTAGCATTTCTCTCCTCAAGCTGTGTTTCCAAGACTTAAAAACAAGGTTTCCTCAGCCTCTGTCTGAAGATGAGGTCCAAAATCCATAGTACCTCTTATTCATGTTCCAGTTAAAGGGGAAAAAACCCAGTTTTTATGGAAACTTCCTGGTATCTGTTTTCAATTGAAGCAGGTAATCTGCATGAAACAGTGCTGCCGATATAACCCCATCCCTTCCTCACTGGAAACAAAAGTAATGCCTTCACAGTTAACCTGGAGCGCAGGGCTTGCTCCAGGGTTCCTATCCTAGAGATTTATGTCTGTGTTAGCAGCCACTCCCCCTCAGTCCATGTTCTTTCATAGACCTGAATATTACGAGCACCGAGGAAGTCCGTACCAGTCGTCTACCAGAATGATCTCCCCGTCCGACAGGACTTTCTTGGAGGCAAAGAGAAGCAGCTGCAGCGGGCTCACCAAGGTCATTGCTTTGGCAGAGATAGCTCGTGTTCGAATCTGCAGGTGGAAGAGGAATACGACTCTTAAAATGGAAAACAGATCCCTACACCTTCCTCTGGCCACTGAAACCAGAGAATTTTGTAAAAACAACACCACAAAAAAACACCTACATAGAATGTTAGGAAATTATAAGAGCACACACACATACAAAATTGAAGGCCAGGCAGATGTCTACAAGGATTCAGCACTGGCTGGTGTAAAAAAAAAACCAAACAAAAAACCAAACCAAAACTATCTGTTATTTTATTCATTTTTCCATGACTGCGTGTCTGCAGTTATACAGCTGATATTTTGCAGGAGCCATCTCATGCTTTGCCAACCTAAAAATGACCATGGCACAGCTGAATTACCTTCCTACCTTTTGCTTTGCTGGGGCTATGATGAAAAGCTCACGTTGCTTCTTTAGTAGGGTCCTACACGTGCAAATTTGGATGTTGCTACGACGTGTCCATGTAACCAGCCCACTTTGTCATTTTAGAGAAACAAGACCTGAAGCTTGTACTTGAAGTGAGCACTTGGACAACATCAAGCCGTCTGACCTGAGCCAGAGATAACAGCACTGACTGCACGGGCTACTGCCCTTCATTTT